GAATACCACCCCCGGCACCAGCCGAGTGAACCTTCTTGAGGCCCCGTGATCACTAACGCTGCCCCAGGAAAGCAGAAATCATTGCTTTGTGCTCTCCTGAGGCTGCACCGCTTCTACAGGATTCCCCAGTCGGGCATTTCAGCCCGAGGAGTGGCGGGCGGGGGGGGGGAGACCGGCCCTCGGGCATTTCAGCCCGAGGAGTGGCGGCTGTGGGAGCAGATCCAGTCCTCGGGCTCTGCAACTGGGAAACGCAGACCCGATCCTAGCGGGGTACTTCCTTTTGCTCAGTGGTACCAGGGTGGGAACCCAAGTACCATGAACCAAGTCCCCAGGTGCCCCCTCCCAGCACAGGGCTGCCCACCTTGCTTGCTCTTCCAGCAATGCTTTACTGGGGGCTGTCGCTGCTGCCCACTGCGGGGAGCAAGGCTCAGCGGGGGCACCGGCATGCCCATCCTCTCCTCCAGCCACCTCGTTCTGCCTGTAGCTGCCCCAGATGGCTCGACACAGAGGCCACTGCTCCATTTAACAATAATTCGTGACCTAATTGCGTGCCTGTCCCAGCCAAGCCAGCTGTGACCTCTAACTGCTCCAACAAGGAGGGAAATCCCCAAACATTAAGTTTCTGTTGCTTGCCACCGCAGCATGTGGATACCAGCATTTCCCAGCAGCAAACACAGGAGACAGAGTGCGGACACCCCTGTTCTGGGCTTTGGTCCTCCAGCCAGTTTGCAGATGACAAGCCAGCTGGCCCTGGCCACCAGCCGGGAGGAGCAGTGCCTGCGCAGGGCAGAGCAGCCACCTGCCTCAGCAGCTCCTCCACAATACTTCAACTTTTCTGAATGGGAAATAGGCTTCTGACAGCCAGGAGCTGTGTCCAGCTCCACAGAAAAGGCAAGTTAGCCCAAAACTAGGGACAAACTTAGCAGGTGACTTCTGGCAGGCTCTAGATAGCTCCTACCGCTTCCCATCCCTGCTGGCCTCCGAGGACCCCCAAGACACTGCATTAATGAAGTCCTTGCAGCATCCGAGCCTCTTCACCCTTCAGCTCTCCCCTGTGTGCCTGGTCCCTGCCCCTTGGAAGGCACTGATGGTCCGTGCAGTTAACATCAAGACAACAGATTTGTTCTTATGTATGCAATCTCCTTCCAGCTCTTTATAAGAATTTCTTACAGTTACTTCTACATTAAGGATGCAATAGTTGCAATAAGCTTTAACCCATCATCTCTGCCTCAGTTTCTCAGTAGAAAAGCAGCCTGATTTAGCTCTCTGACCCAGGATAGCCCTCCTCCCCCAGGCTGCTTTATCCTCCTCACTGAATCAGGAGCTCAGCCCTGCTATTCTCAACAGCCTTCACCATCTCTACACACCACAGAGCTAACCGGAGACCGAGCCTTCAGCCCAGCGAGGCTGCCAGCGCAGCTGCCCCCTCCAATGCATCTCTACCTGAGCTGCTTACCTGCTGCTGGCCAAAATTCAGGTCTTTCCAGGGCATCTCTCTGCTTGCTGGTGCTCCTCCACCCAGACACCCTGGCCGACTCACGAACCAGGTTTTATACCTGGCTGTCAGGTGCTGCTGGTCCCCGGGAATTTGCTTTCCCCGTTAGCACCAGCTGCACAACTCCACTTCCCAAAGGGCTCGGTCTCTTGCTCGCAGCCTGGCACCTCCGCTTTGAAATAACCTGTTTGTGCCGAAGGCTCAGAGGCAAGCCCGGCAGCTGAGACCCGGGTGGAGGCAGGCTGGGAAGCGCCGGAGCCCAGGGAAGCGGCGTGGTGGGGCTGTGCCGTAGGGATGCGCTCACTGCCCAGCCCTCTCTTTCCCATTTTGCAGGAATATTGACACTCTCATTGTGGATGTGTACCCGTTGCTGGACACACCGGCCAAGCAAGTCATTTGGCAGTTTATCTACCAGCTGCTGACGTATGAAGAGCAGGAGCACTGCCAGCAAAAGATTGCCAGGTTTCTTGGTTACAAGTCCTTGGCAGGTGAGAGGAAAGCTCCTGCCCTCCAGCATGGACACCCCGTGTCCCGCCGTGTCCCACCGGG